TTCTCTCTCTCTCTCTCACTCTCTCTCTCTCTCTCTCTCTCTCTGTGTGTGTGTGTGTGTGTGTGTGTGTGTGTGTGTGTGTGTGTGTGATGGTGGTGGTGATGGTGTTCCTATGGGTCAATTATATAAGCATACAGTTTGTGCAGGTGCCTGAATTGGATCTTTAAGGAGATAAATATGAAATTTATTTATTAATTTTGAGACCAGATCTCACCGTGTAGCCATGCCAGGGCTGAAATTTCCTATGTAGATCAAGCTGGCCTTGAATTTGAATTCACAAAGATCCACCTGCCTTGCCACCAAGTGTTGGGATCAAAAGTGTTCACCACCTTGCCAAACAAGTTTCTTTGTTTGTTTGTTTGTTTTCTTTTGGTTTTTTGAAACAAAGTTTCTCTGTGTAGCTTTGTGAACCAGGCTGGCCTGGAACTCACAGAGATCCACCTGCCTCTTCCTCCCAAGTGCTGGGATTAAAGCCACGTGCCACCACTGCCCAGCTCCAAGTTCTCATTTCTGAGATACTCTTTTGTGCTGTAAAGGGAAACCATTTTTGTGTGGCAGCCTTTTATCAATGAAATGGCCTAGATGGGGCCCCAGAGCTCACAGTTTTAGAGGAATTTGCTGTGAAAAAAAACATGAATAAGACAAACTATGTCCTGTAAATGGCACAGCATTGGAAACTGGTCCTAGCCAGATATCTCCTTCAGACATCCAAGCTACCCTTGTCCTCTCCACTTCGTTTGTATAATAATCAAAGATTGTGTGCCTTTGATGGTAATGTACCACCCTGCCTGGTCTATGTGGTGCTGGGGACCTAACCCAGGGCTGCAGGCATGCTAGGCAAGCATCCACACCATCTGATCTACCCAGCTCTACTTAGGCTGAATACATACACAGATAAGTTACAAGGAAAGAGCAACTACACAGTTTTGTACAAGAAATTAAAGGATTATGTCTTCACTTTGCTGCTGTCCTCGGCACAAGCTCTTTATATCCCCTCATGTCATGGCTTCCCTGATCACTTCAGCAGGCTCTCCTCTGTTAACTGCTCTCCAGGGTTTGTCACCACACTGCGAACCTCAGCTGCACCAGTACAGCCATTGCTGTCCTCATCAAGCTGGGTGCTTACCTAATCGCCCCCCCCATCTGTCTTTCATTTTTCTTGCTGTCCACGGGCTGTACCATTACCATCGCACCTGCTTCATTAATCATGCCCTCTAACTCTGCTTCTGTGAGATTCTGCATAAGACTACATGACAGCTACCAATCCTTCATTGTTTTAGTTCCATCACCATCCTTGTCAAATGGTGAGAAGTCATCTTTGACCGATGTTCCAAGTTCAGTGCTCAAGACCCACATGGTGAAAGGAGTGAACCAATTTATGAAAGTTGTCCTCTGATATCCACACCAAGTTGTGACATGTGCATGCACACTCCTGCAAGTGCAAGTGCATGCCAAGTGTGCTTATGCACGCACACGTGCACACACACAGACACACACAGAGTTTTATTTTCATTTTTTGGTTTTTCAAGACAGTGTAGCCCTAGCTGTGCTAGAACTCACTCTGTAGATCAGGCTGGTTTCACAGTTAGAGATCTCCCTCCCAAGTGCTGGGATTAAAGGTCTGCACACCACTGCCTGGCACCACTGCTAATTTTTGCCATGAACATGCTGGGTGGGTTCAGTGTTTCTGATTGAATGTTCTGTTTCCAAGCCTCTGTTTGACATTGCTCTGTGTTCTGTTAAACAGTAGACCTGTAGTCATACATAAATGTTTAATCCTAGGAAATAAAATGAAGCTTGACTTTGACTTTTTGTGTACTCATGCTTTCCTTCTTGGATTTCATCTGTTTTGTTGACTTCTGCAGTTTTTAACTGATTTCATCAGCAGCACAAGTGGCATCAGAATGCAGCTCATCATTTCTCTCCCTCCATAGTTTGCTTATGAATTAAAGGCTGATTTGCAGGCTGGCAAGCAGGCAATAAACACTGCTTCTTGAAATCTGTCACATAATCAGCCCCAAAGAAATGAAGTCTTCCAAGAGCAAAACCAAGCCCAGATCTTCTAAAGGCCTGAACACCAAGCACAGGGTGCTCCCTGCATCCCTGCTGGCATGGATAATTCAGCCAAGAGTGTTTAGCTGGCACTTTAGTTTTTTGTGGTATGGAAGACTTTCCAGATCCAGGCCAGCTAGCCTGCAGTTGGCAATGTGGTTTGTCACGCGGTTGGAGGCAAAAATCCCATTTAACAAAGGGCATGCAGACAGCCAGGCAAGGGTGTGTTGGCTAAGAACATGCTGTTTGAATATTTTTAAAGACAGTTTTAATTTGTATTTATTTTCATTTATGTGAGTGTTTTACAGATATATATGTCTGTATACCCCAAGTGTGCATGGTGCCTGGAGAGGCTGGAAGGGGTGTTGGATTCTCAGAGACTAGAGTTATAGACAGTTGTGAGTTGTATATTGGTGTTGGGAATTGAGTCCATGTTCCTCTGAAAGAGCAACCAGTGCTCTTAATTACTGAGCCATCTCTCCAGCCCCTGAATAGATACTCTGATTGTCTTTTTATGGTGGTGGGGGGCATGTTTTGAAACAGGGTTTCTCTGTGGCTTTGGAGCCGGTCGTGGAACTAGCTCTTGTAGACCAGACTGGTCTGGAACTCACAGAGGTCCACCTGCCTCTGCCTCCCGAGTACTGGGACTAAAGGCGTGGGTTACCACCGTCCGGCCTCTAATTGTCTTTTTAAAAGATGACCTGTCATAAGAGAATATTGATTTTTTTTCTTTAGAGACAGGAATATTGTGACTTTGAAACTTTTTTTTCTAATGAAATGTGAGAGCCTGTAGGAGGTTCCAGAGAATCTTGATTATTGAAGACATTGTCATTGTCCTTCAGAATTCCCAGAAATGTTGAAGTATGAATGCAGAAGAGATAACAGGCAAAGGGTCCTTGGGTGAGTGTAGCTCCTTGACACCTCACATGAAGCACAGCTCAATAACATTCTGTTGTCAGTCCCTGTTGGGGTGTGTGTGTGTGTATCTTTTTTTTTTTTTTTTTTTTTTTTTTTGAGACAGGGTCTCATTGCCAAGCTAGCCTTGCACAAATCCTGTTATAGAGGTTGGCCGGTTGGCCTTAAACTCATGATCTTTCTGCTTCTATCTCCTAAGTGCCGGGATTACAGGTATGAGCCACCATGCCCAGTTGGCAGCAAGTTTGCTTTTAGCCTTGTGTTTTAGGTGTTGGCTTTAGTTTGGGTCCTGAGTTCCTCATATTTCTTTCTGCACTCACCTGTTCCTTTCACAATTCCCTGAGAGTGTTATTATCTGATTTTCATCTGGAAACTATTGCTCATGTCTTCCAACTGTATCCTGTTGTATTGTCTTCTATGGGCACAACTCACTTCATAATTAAGAAGATAATGGCATCTCATTGATAAGAAATTACATTGCATCCCTCTGCACTAAGAGGAGCCATGGGGGAGCGATGGTTTCCTGGGCTGGGGAGGGAGGATTAGAGGAGATACACTGAGAGGAGCGCTTCCTGTAGTCCTAATGTTTTCATTAAGCAACTTTAATTGCATCTGACTCGCCTCCCTGGTGGCTTTCTTCTTTTCCATCTGTGTAGACAAGCATTCATATTTCATGTCCACAGGAAAATGCATCTTCAAGGTTTTGGGCACCATATGTTACTTTTCCCAGGATTCAGGCAAAGAGTTTAAGCTATTTTACTAAAGAAAAAGTATAACACATTTCTTATGGATTACCGAGTGCACTCAAAGATGAACTGTAGTCCATGATGGTAAGACTTCCTTTATTCAGGTAAACACCAGAGCAAAACACAAGCCAGGGCGAGCTCACAGGAAGCAAGCTATCGAGGCCAGAGAGAAGGGGCCAGGGTCTCCACGTGCAGCCCTTAAGAACCTTCCCTTATGTCACCCCGACTTCCCTTTACCTCGCCCTCATGGGTGAGTCCGGGGTCCACCTGGCACCTGTCCGGGTTGCCATGGGGCGGGGCTAGGGTGTCTCCCAACACACATTCATCTTTTTCTCTACTCTAATACTAAACATATTCATAGTCAATATGTGTGTTTTAATTGTAAGGTAACACAACTAAAAGTGTGTGAAGTGTTTGGCAGTACTGGTACTCAAGCCCAGAGAGTGTCTGCAAATTACTCATTGGTAAGTAATATGAAGATAATATGAATGTTTTTTGAAGATTTATTGTTTTATGTGTCTGAGTGTTTTGTTTTCATGTTTGTATGTACACCTCATGTGTGCCTAGTGCCCATCAGAAGAGAACATCAGATCTCCTGGAAATGGAGTTGCAGATGGTTGTGAGTTAGCATGTGTGTGCTGGGAATTGAACCCAAGTCCCCTGCAAGAACAAGGGCTCTTAACCAGAAGCCATTCCTTCAGCCCGTTTAAATTGTCCTAATACAGTGGCATCATAAGGACGCTTCATAATAAGCTACTGGTCATATTTTCCTGCCTTGTTCCCTAGACAGATGTACTTCCTCAAAATTCCAAACCTCATATTTGAGAAATGATTTTGAAAATTATGTAATTAAGCCCTTTTTACCACTGTAGACTTTTTTTTTTTTTTTTTTTTTTTTTTTTTTTTTTTTTTTAAGCAGAAGCAAGTTGTGGCTAACTTGGCTATGTTGAAGTTCTCTACTTTTTTGTTTTGAGACAGGGCCTCGTGTTGCTACATGGCTAAAGATGACCTTGAACTCTTCTAAAATTGTTATTATTTCACAATTTTGTACATTAACACACACACATACACACACACACACACAAACACACACATACAAACACACACACACTGGATTCTGATCATATTCCCTTCTTGTTATCTAATATCACCCCCTATCCCTTCTTCCCAGTAAATTCCCTTCCTACTTAAAAAAAAAAAAATTTTGATTCAAGGTCTCTTGGGCCAATGCCAACCTCAAAATCACTTCATAGTGAAACCTTGAACTTCTGACTCTTCTGCCTCCACCTTCTGAGTGCTGGGATCATAGGTGTGCACCATCATGAACTCAATAAAAAGTCATCTGTTTATTAGTAGGTAGGATACATTTTAAAGTGCTTTATTTGCCCATATTGCAAAAGAAATACATATTTAGTGAGAAAATATAAAAGTGAGAAATCATATTTCTGCAACCTAAAGAATTATTATGAACTTTTAGTTCATTGTGTTAGTAATAATAATAATGATGAGTAACATTTTTTAAAATTTGCTAGCTGGGTGGGGCAGTTCATGCTTTTGATTCTAGTGCTCAGGAGGCAGAGGTAGGTGGATCTCTGATTTTGAAATCAGCCTGGTCTACAGAGCAAGCTCCAGCACAGCCAAGGGCTACACAGAAAAAACCGGGGATCACATGGCGACTCTCCTCTCTACTACATTTCCCAGAATTCTCCTTCTCTCCTTGTCCCACCTATCTTGCTTCCCTATTGGCCAACAGTGTTTTATTCATTAACCAATAAGAGAAACATATACACAGAAGAACCTCCCCCATCAATATTGTGTTGACTTTTGAACAGCTAACAAGCCTGGACATTTCTAGTGTTGGAGGCCTTTGTGTTTCTTTTAGTTCTGATGGAAGCATGGAAGTCTGGAAGGCTTTAATGGAGAACTCAGAGCAAGGGAGTTAGATTTATTTTATTTGTTTGTGTGTGTGCCTGCTTGTTTGCCTGTGTACCATGAACATGTAGTGCTCTCAGAGGCCAGAAAAGGATATTGGATCCCCTGAAACTGGAATTACAGGCACCTGTGAGCCGACATATGGATGCTGGGAGCTAAACCTAGGACCTGTGGAAGAGCAGCCAGTGCCCTTTTTTTTTTTTTTTTTTTTCCGAGACAGGGTTTCTCTGTGTAACTTTGGAGCCTATCCTGGCACTCGATCTGGAGACCAAGCTGGCCTGGAACTCACAGAGATCCGCCTGCCTCTGCCTCCTGAGTGCTGGGATTAAAGGCGTGTGCCACCAATGCTCGGCTGCAGCCAGTGCTCTTAACCACTGAGCCACCTCTCTAGCCCTGACTTGTTTAGATGTTTTTAAAAATGTACTATGAAGGCTGGTCTGAGAAACCTTAGACTGAATAGAAGAATGGTCCACAGCGAAAACACAGGACCACCAATCTGCACTAGGCTTGTTTACCTATTTAGTAATCAGAGGTCTGTCCTCAAATTTAGTGATTTTCCAGACAGAATGGGGCTGTAGCAAATGAGCCAGGTCAGTGAATGCCTTCAGTGGGTAGGCCTACTGCCTTCCAGGGTCAGCTCCTAACATGCTCTGGGCTGTTAGACTAAGGGGTGAGTAAATAAGCCTCCCAGCCCATATACTGAGATCTAGACCTAGAACTAAGGATCAACTCTACCTTTGTAATTCTGTCCCAGGAAAGGAAGCCACCAGCCCTCACAATGCTAGCTGGGAGGCAAGTGAGCTAAAGAGAGCTTTTAGACTGGCTTTCCTAAAAGCCAGCATGTAGGCAACACATGAAAATATCTCACATAAGGGGCCAAGTAACAGGAGGTGAGGAAATGTGTGTTTGATGTGCATTGTTGCAGTTTCCCCCAAGTGGCCTTGTGGTTCTGAATGGGGGATGGACGCTCAGCTGAAGATCTGGCTCACCAAAGACGCTAGCTATGTGGTGACCTTCAAAGGTCACAAAGGAACTGTAAAAGGGCTTCTCTAATGATTTCCAAGGGCAAATCACTGTAAAGATAGAAACGAATTAGTTATTCACAAGTGTATAAATAATTCACTCAACTGGCCATTTGGATGGGCTGCTACTTCCCCAAGGACTAGAAATTCCTGTGTGTCAGAACTTTTGGTTTGTTTTTAAGAAAAGGTCTCATGTAGCCCAGGCTGGCCTCAAACAGGCTGTGTAGCTGAAGATGACCTTCACCTCTGATCCGCCAGCCTGCACCTCTTGAGTGCTAGACTATAGATACACACCACCATGCCTGGCTTTATGCAATGCTGGAGACTGGCCAGGGCTAGCCCAGCGTTTTACCAATTGAGCTCCATCAGCATGGCTGCTTAGTCTTGTTAGAGATATCCGACACAGATTTTTTTTAAGTTCATTATTTTATTTTATGTATATGGGTATTTTGCCTGCATGTATGTCTGGGCACCACATATGCACTCAGAGGCCAAAAAAGGCACAGCTGTGAGCTGCCATGTGGGTGCTAGGAATTGAACCCAGGTCTTCTGGAAGAGCAGCTACCAGCACTCTTAGTGGCTTAGAATCTCTGTAACCCATACAAAGACTCTCTACAAATGATTATGGGGACATTTTTCTCTGTAGATCATCTACTTGTGTGTTTTGGAAAAAACAGGAAGGGAATCCATGTTTTCTATTATTAGTGCCTGAGATGGCATCAAAGATAGAGCTTCTTGTTTGTTTGTTTGTTTGCTTGATGAGATCAGGTGTTTGTTAAGTAGCCCAGACTGGCCTCAAACTCTATATAACCAAAGATGACCCTGAACTTCTAGCTAGGAGTGGTGGCACACACTTGTGATCCTAGCAGGTGCCCAGTGGAGGCAGGAGGGTTGAAGGACTTTAAGTTCAAGGTCATCCGTGTTTACATAGTGAGTTTGAGGCCAGCCTGGACAATCTGAGACCCTATCTCAAAGCACAAAAAAGGCAAACCCATGAAGAGACTTAGTGATTCTGATCCTCTTGCATCTACCTCTAAAGTGCTGGACTCAAGAGCCAGTGCTGCGGAATCAGGAACGCAGGGCTTCACCTGTGCTGGGAAGGCAATGCACCACTCACCGACAATCCCAGTCTTATCACTGCCTCCCTGCTCACACCTTTAAAGACAGGATCTAATTGTGGAGCCCAGACTGGCATGGAACTCACTATGTAGATGAGGCTGGCTTCGAACTCACAGAGATCTTCCTGCCTCTGCTTCTCTAGTGCTGGAACTAAAAGTGTGCCACCATGCCTGGCATTACTGCCTTCTTATGCTGTATATTTCTTAGGCAAGAGGCCACTGCAAATATTCAGAGATGAGAAATAAATGGCTTCCAAAATAATGAAATCTATGGGCATGTTGCATATTACATTATTTTTTAAGATTTTATTTATTATGTATACAACATTCTGCTTCCATATATATCTGCACCAGATCTCATTACAGATGGTTGTGAGCCACCATGTGGTTGCTGGGAATTGAACTCAGGACCTCTAGAAGAGCAGACAGTGCTCTTAACCTTTGAGCCATTTCGCCAGCCCACATATTACATTATTATTCCACTCTGGGTCTTATTTAATCTTGTTTGTAGGAAGTGTTTCTCTGCCCTAGGCTTTCTGAATTCAGTGTTCAGTGGTAAGCCTTTCTCTTTACCCTTCTGTAATATAACACTGGGTTTTCTTCCAGTCCCAAAGCTACTGTGACTTAGTCTCCTTCTTCTACTTTTATGTACTAGTGAGTCAGGGCTAGAAAGACCATGTCTCAGTGGTTAAGAGTGCTTGCTGCGCTTCCAGAGGAGCCAAGTTAGATTCCTAGCACCCACATCAGGCTGTTTACAACTACTTGTAACTCCAGCTCAGAGGATCTGACACCCTCCTTTGGATTCTGGGCACCTGCATTCACACATGCACATATATACATAATTTTAAAATAAATGAATGTTAAATATCAATGTGTCTCTTCATGAAGTCCTAGGCCCTCAGCTCTAAACCTAGTTCACTCTCAGCTGATGAGTAGACAGAAAAAAATGAGAAATCTTCTTGGTCAGACGTTGTATTGGTTTTTTTTTTTTAAAAAAGGTCATCTCATTTAAGCTGTGTTGTTACTCAAGTTATAGGTATTACTACTGTTTTTTCTTCCAATTTTTGAAACATACAACCAGTATGTACATATCTACAAAAATTGAAGCAATACGGAATTACATAGAATTAAAAGTCCTCTCAAAGAAATTAGGATTAACATTTTCATATATATATATATATATATATATATGTATGTATGTATATATATATATATATATATTTACTTTATGTATATGGATGCTGTGCCTACATGTGCATGCCTGGTGCCCTCAGAGGACACTAGATCCCATGGAATTGGAGTTATAGACAGTTGTGAGTCAACATGCGGGTGCTAGGAATCAAACCTGGATGTTCTGGAAAAGAAGTCATTGCTCTTAACCACTGAGCCATCTTTCCAAGCTTTTTGAAGATAAGCTCTCAAATTCACTAACCCCCTGCCTCAGCACTCAAATGATGTGACCCACCACACCTAGTTCTATATATGTGTCTGTCGGGTGGGGGGGTTGTTTTACAAGACAAGGTTTCTCTGTGTAACAGCCCAGGCTGTTCTGGAACTTGCTTTATAGACCAGGCTGGCCTTGAACTCACAGAGATACATCTGCCTCTGCCTCCCAAGTGCTGGTGTGTGACACCATACCCATCTATATATGTGTATTTTTAAAGTCCTTTTGAAAATTTGCACTTGCATCTGTGTATTTATTCATTTAAACACACAATGTGACTTTATCTTAGTTTATGTTATGCATAATTGGGTTCATTCTATGTGTGTTGCCCTCTGGTTTATCTGTTTCTCAATATCTTGAAATTTTCCTCAGGTGAATGCACACAGATATATTTTATAATTCCTGAATAATATTCTGTATGTATTCCTACATATAGGGGTGTAGCTGTCTTCTTTAAGCTCATTGACGTAGTCCAAGTCTTACTGAAATAACGTATCATTTCAGTTTTACAGAGGAGGAAGCCAGGACCTAAAGGACCAAGGAAGTCACCGTAGCTAAAAATACTGTTCATGACAGTAAAAATGAGATTGTATTATTTACAAAATACATGCTGTTTGTGTGGTACTAGTGATTTTTCCCTTTCATTGAGAAATTAATAAAATGCTCCTCAGAGGAAAGGCATATAGTCAGAACTTTATACACACAACTAAGAGACCAAGCCTATTGATTTGTGTGCCCCGCCCTCTGCTTCCCCAGGGGCTGTCTCTGCACTGAGCCATGAACAAGACTAAAGGGGTTTCATTCCACTTGTGACAGTCAATTCCTCTGTTCCCTTGCATAAGTGCACCATTGATCTGGTTAGAGGTGCTGTAAACACATTGGTGATGGCCCCTCTCTTACTCCTGTGGTCAATAAATTTCTGAGACTCAGGCTTGGCATGGTGGCACACTGCTGTACTCCCAGTACTCTGGAGATGGAGGCTGGAAGATGAGAAGTTCTCTCAGGTACAGAGGGAGTTTGAGGTCAGCCTGGATTAAGAACTGCTACATAACACCCTGCCCCTTGGATTAATGAAGGGTAATAGCAGGTTCTAATTTTTAAATTGCTCTTGTTTTTGTTTAAGATTTATTTTTATATTTGTGTGTGTCTGTATGCCACCTATGTGGGTGCCTGTAGAGGCCCGGGAGAGGGCACTGGATCTTCTGAATTGAAGTTCCAGGAATTTGTGAGCTGCCCAACATGGCCCTCTGCCAAATAGCAAGTGCTCTTAACCAGTAAGCCACTGCTAGAGTCCCCAGAGTCCCTCCTTTTGAGATGAAAGAATACTAGACTTCCTTTGACCTGTGAATTCTTGTTGCAGGTTGCCACACGGAAGAATCAGATTTGCACATGCTGTTCAGACAGTCTGATGTGAGGTTATCATTTCCAGACCGGTGGTCCCTTAGAAAGAAATAAAGAAGTGTGTCCCCTCACCCATTGTTCCTCCTGCCTTATTCATTTGAAGGAACCAGTTTCCCTTTTGGCAGCCATAATGGCCAAACACCTGCTTCTATGACCTTGTCCTAGACACTAGAAAGTCAGATGCCTGCCTCGTGACAAGGAACCAATCAGAAGTTAGCTGGTGG